AATGAAGTCTTGGTTTGTTTGGAATTACAAAGGAGACAGAGACAAAAGTCAGAGGCTGAGGACTCTCCAGAGGAGGAGTTCAGAGAGGTTTGCTCCTGATACCAAATAATCTATGTGATCACAGATATGGGGCACTGAGGGGAAGCCAGCCAGATTCCTGAGCACAGGATTCCTAACAGAGTTAATGATAGAGTCAGAAGCTGTGAGGGATGGAAGTCATGTTGCTCAAGTCTACCAAGGAGGGTAGACACACTGGTACCCCCTCATCTAAGCTGAGTGATGATCACACCTACCCAACCTTGATGGTTTCTTTTCTCTGTTCTCTTCTAGCCTCTCTTTTAACCTGCTGGCACCTCTCTGCCACAGCCCACGTCACCATTGAATCTGTCCCACCCCAAGTGGTTGAAGGAGAAAATGTCCTTTTCCTTGTCCACAATCTACCAGATGATGTTCTAAACTTGGCTTGGGCCAAAGGGGTGAATACTATGCATCTTGGAATTGGAACATATTTGCAGAGTGAAAATTTAAGTGTGCCAGGTACTGAAAGCACTGGTAGAGAATCAGTGTACAGTAACGGATCCCTGCTGCTCAGAAATGTGACAAAGAAGGACACAGGATTCTATACCCTAAGAGTCTTCAATAGTCGTGTGTCTATTGTGTCAACAACAACCATTTACCTTCATGTGCACAGTAAGTGATTCTTTGTGAATTCTGGATTCTGGGAGGTGTTCATTCCATTGGACACACACACAATATGGTGACCTGTACCTTCCTCCTCTGTGCATGGTGTCCCCATTGTGGGGTTTGAGTATTCCATGCTAGGACACACATGGTGTTAGAGTAATTGCAATAGATCACATTCCTCAATTTGACTTCACTTTATAGACAGGTAGATAGATGCTCAGCAACTCAGCCTAGAATAAAAGCCTCTATCTAGATTCTTGGGGTTCTCACAGGAATGTGCCCTCGAGAAAGACCCAGAGGGAATCAGCATTGGGCCTGCTGGAGGAAAATTTGAGGTCCTCACAGAGTTGTGAGAACCAAGATGCCCTGACTGAAGACCTCTGTCCAAGATTCAACCAGCTAGCCCTTAGAAGCATTTCACAAAGGTTGGATTTTGACTTCTTAGTGGCAGGGAACAATGCTTTTTAGTAGCCAGGTCCAGCATCTTTGGAACCACCATCATGAGCTATATGGTTAGTCTAGGTTCCCTCGACATCTTTTCCAGAGACTGAGCAGGCACAGGTGCCCAAGATATTACTTATATGTTCTGACAGGCTTATGAGACTTCACAAGAGAGCCTGGGAAACCCAGTACAGGGAGAGAGGACATAGGTTCTTCTGACAAGTGTCCTCTAGGGTCCAGCACAAGGAATTCTCTCCTGCACAGAAATGGCTGCAGGCTATGCTGTTCTAACAGCTCCCCAGATACAAACATCAGTTCCTCTAGTGATCACCAGGGATGGCATCAGGATATACAATATACTGATGGAAAAGAATTTGCCCAGATAGCGATCTTATCTACTAGACTGGTTCCACCCCTGTATTTTCAGATCTGGAAATCACAGACACAGAATTCTCAGATTTACTGGCTTCTTGGTGTGTCTATCACACTGTAGGGGGATCACATTTCACTTCTTCCTTTATGTGTTTCCTTTGGGAAATACACAATATTCAAAGGGAATCAATTAAGATAGAGGTCCAAGTTATCCCAGAAGACCGTAGAACACATGAGAGACCCATTACTCAGTGCAGTGAACAGGAAGTCAGAGCATGGCCTTGAAATGTTGTTTGGGACAAAGGAGCTCACAGTCTTTTTCCAGCCATCAATCCATTCATTTCACACATCCAGGAGCCTCCTGATTGGTCAGAACCTTGATTGTTGGCTCCATTGAGAATGGATTTGTTGTCTTCCCCACACATCCCTCAGCTGGTCCCTTTGGAGCCTCACAGATGTCTCTGTCACCTTCTTGCCTGGAGCAAATTCCTTGTTTGCAGAACATTGAAAACACAGGGCAGACTGGATGCCCAGCTGGGTTTCTGTGTCACAGATTTATGGAGATTTTCTCTTTTTGGTGCTTAGTGACCAAGGTCAGAACACAGCAGAGTGCAGCCCTAGGGGTAGCGGTTATTCTCTTCTGTCACTGGGATGGTCATTTTCCTTGACTGTCATTGTGTGCTCTAGAGGACAGAAACTTAAGGAGAGAATGAGAGGGACATTGACATCACTGAGAGTGGAGGGGGCAGAGCGGTGTTTTGAACACAGACCTACTTTAAACCCATGGGACTCTGGGAGGGGCTCCTCCCTGGAGGAGGCTCAGCTCAGATGGGCGAAGAAAAGCAGAACTTGTTCTGGAGCAGTTATGCAACAGAGGGAAGACAGATCAGGCTACAGAGACCCGGGAGGCACTCTCTGTACCCTTCTGTCAATGATGTATTATCTCTCACAGTCAAAGACACCACAAGATGACTGTGTGTCGTAGGAGTGGACTGACCTACTGTCTGGAGTCTCCTAAGAGGGACAAGAGCATGTGAAGAGTTTCGTTGTTTGTAGGGGAGATGACAGGCAGTCCAGAGGCTCTGAAACACTATCATTAAACAGTAAGGGAGAACATTAAAAGGCAAGGATGGGAGACACATTTCTTACACAAAATTAATAAACATTGCCATGATATTCTGAAGACTGATACACTCAGCTGGACGTTATGAACAAAAAAAATCAAGCTGGTGTGGATCAGTGACATATGTCAACGGATAGAGACACCTGCTTCTTTTTCGGACAAGCTGAGGCCAATGAACCAAGTTGTCCTCTGACCTCCGCTCAAGTCCTGTGTCCTGCACTCACCCACCCACACTGAGACTAGTCCTATATAAACTGACATGCAAATATGTGAACAAGCATAAAACATCAAAGGAAATGGAATGATTCAATACTGTATTCAAGTTTGTTTTTTTTTCCTGGGCAGTATTATTTTTTTAATAAGAAAAATCAAGTTTTTTTTTTAGATGCACCAGTTTTAGTGGATTTGAAAAAAAAACAATCTAGAAGGTGAAATCAGATAACCCCAGGAGGAACGGAACAACAGTGATGAAAACCTTACAGAGTGAAGATGCAGGGTCTGTAGGAGAAGAGGTTGGAAAGGCATCACCCCCAACACCAACCCACTGTAAACGTGAGCAGGGATCTGATGGCTGTAAGACAGGGACATGTTGACAACTGAAGATAGAACATCAGAGTGGAAATGACAGGTCCAGGAACACTGAAAACATGGAGGTCATGTGCTTACCTCCACCTAGTAGGACAGGGAGATGCTCACACACCAAGGTTGAGCAGTGGGCATAGGGCCTCATCTTAGCCAAGAACAAAGGTTCCAATTTAGATGGATCTCTCTCTTCCCTTCTAGCTGTATTTTGGACTTGTGGGAGCCATGCCTCCTCTTCCAAGCCCACTATTGAATCAGTGCCACCCTGTGTTGCTGAAGGGGGAAGTGCTCTTCTACGTGTTCGCAATCCCCCGGAGAATATTGTAAGCTTTGTCTGGTTTAAATGGATGACCGCATTGAAGGAACTGGAGGTTGCCCGATACATCATAGACAGAAAATCAACTCTGTGGGGGCCTGCATACAGTGGCAGAGAGACATTGTACAGTGATGGATCCCTGCTGCTTCATGGTGTCACTCAGAAAGACGTTGGATGGTACACTCTACAAATTGTGAGAACAGATACAAAACGCGAAGAAGCAAAAGTGCAGCTCCACGTGGACAGTAAGTGATTCTCTGTGACTGTTCAGGGCTGGGGGGGGGGGCTTAGACACACAGGGCTGTCATGGCTGGCCTAGACTCCTTTCCCTCTGCACTGTGTTCCCAGGTGGAGCTTTGAGCACTTAGTGCAGGACACCCTAATAAAGACAAATGGCCATAGAGCAGCTTCCATCTTCTGACTCCATTTGCATCAAGGAAGACCTTGATGGCAAGAAACTCAGCCCAAGATGTCAGAGTCAGCCCAGTCTCTTGGGACTCTAGACCAGGGATCATTGACTCCTGTCATCTTTCCAAGGCTGGACTAAAGTGACCCAGGGGAGCATTTTTTCTTTTTCTTTTTCTTCCATTTTTAAATTTGAATTAAAAACAAGATTGTTTTACATGTCAATCCCAGTTCCTCCTCCCTGCCCCCCTCCCCTACCACTCACCCAACTAAAACCCTACCTATCCCATACCCTTTCTGCTCCTCAGGGAGG